TGTCTTCTTTATTTTTTATTTTTTATTTATTAGTTGTATTGTTTTTTCCTTTTCTTTGTTTTTCTTTGTTAGTTTTTTGTTTTTTTCTTACATCGTTAAGTAAACAATTTTATTTTACATTCATAGGTTTTGTTCATAATATGGAATGGTAAAATGACAACATGGCGTTAAAACGACAACAAAAGTTATGGGATGAAAAAGAATTACGCTGCTGCTATCGTAATTCATATGGATAAATTTATCTAATAATGGAAACAGGGATATATCTAGGAGTGTCATCTGCACGAAACTTATCCATAAAACCGAATATGTCACCACTATATCTATGACTTTTACCAAAAAATGGAAAACGTTCATCTTATTACAATCATTCATGGCGTTCTTCTTCCTTTTAAACATAGAACAAAAAAAAAAGGAACACAAATATAAAATTGAACTATACATTTCAATTTTCAGTGGACAAAAAATAATGAATCATGCAATTAGTTCTAGTGTGCTTTTTCACGCAGAGCTAATTGCCTTGAAAAGAGTCAATCGACTCTTCAGTTTGAACTATCTTCCAGGAGGTTTAAGTTAAACAATACTATTATCTTTAGAGCTTAAAGTTCATCATCATTAAGTCATGACTAAAAAATCATGCTTACACCTTAGTTCCTTGTCTAGAATATTAGAATATCTATAACAAAGATGTATCCAAATTTATGCCATTCAAAGCTTATTGCACTCCAAAATATTGTATAAAAGTTATTGTGTAGAAAATTTAAGAAAAAAAGTGGAAACCATGCGTTTGACGTAGATACTACATATGTACGATCATATGTATCCATGTAAAAGCATAAACAATCATCATACGGGTAGTAAATTCAAAGAATTTAAACAAAAGGAACGAACAAATATGAGCTTTTCTTCTTCTTAGAAAATTAAAATTTCGCTGTGCTAATTAGCAACAGCGATAATTCTGAAGTTGACAAGCTTGGATTGCTATAACTGGGTATACCGGAAATGATATTCAGACTTACGGACAACGGCAGAGTTACCAATAACATGGCAATGGAAATTGAAGATTTTGAGTTTTGAGAGATGGAAGGTCACTTGGAGGATGAGTTCACCGGATCTGTTGATACATCAACCAACGTATGCGTATATGTGGTCGGTTGGAAGATCATTTCAATCATATCATCCTCAACTTTTCTCTGACCGTATCGATTTTTCAAAATCTATAAAACGAATGTTGCATATATTGGGAAACAAATATAACGATACTATGGAAATTTATGGGTTTATTTTTCACGAAGATCAGCAGGAATTTCCGGTCATTTAATTTCACATACATTTGTTAGCATTACGCCCTGGACAATCTCATTCAACACAACTTTTGCTGAAGAGGTTAATTTATGACAGTCGTCAAACATTGATCCTGTCCATCTACTGGTCAAAATAACGATTACTCTTTTTCTGTAAGCAATAATGTTATAATGGCATACTGCTTCGGGCAAGCAGTATTCTCAACAGTTCTTTGAAAAATTCTCAAAACGAATTTCTAAAGAGATATCGGCATATCTGATGGAGACAACGATACATGTGAAACTGTAACAATATCTTAAGCCCATTATTCAATATGCAAAGGTATTTCTTAGTAAAGGCTCAAAAGTAACGTTACAAAAGTAACACTGCTGGTATTTCGTTTACATTGTTAGAAACTTACATATAAAAATTTACGAAATCTACGCCGATCGGTCTCATCTCGTCGTCGCTGTATTGCAAAAACGTTATCCGCTTCTTGCGTAACTCGTCCCGAACCCCCGAAGTGATGTACATCAAGATCTTCACCACCCTATAAATCATTACAAAAGGAATAAAGCAGAGATTACTCATGAATCTTCCCTTCAAAGCGAACACTTTGAAAGACATAAAAAATCCTGGAAAAATAATTCTAAGGTATTACTTACGTTGGTTTTTCGAGGATGGACTACCATTGTGATATGTGTCATACAATCAGTGGCAATACTTCGCATCAAACCGATAAAACGATCCTACAAGAAAGCTTGGTTATTTTGAAAGTATTAGGCACTGATGAATGAACATCAATTATTGAAATGTTTAAAAATACCCGAAATTGAAACGGTGAGATAAAAGATCAACCTGCTGATGGAATCGTTCGAATGAATTCGCTGTTTCATCGTTCAAAATTGCAAGACCTACTAGAAATTGCAAATTATCAATGACAACATGTCCGATTTCACCTGCTACAACTTGATTTCTGATAGCCTGCAATAAATTTTGATCTAATCAAATAAAAGCAGAAGCATTCTATTCTGATCAATGTTAAGACGATTACGACTGAAATGATTATTAGTATTGTGTAATAATATAAATAATTAACACAACCTACTGACTAAAAAACCTACCCCTATATCGTTTATATTTCCTAAAGATTCTAATAGAACAGTGTTCTGGTTAAATAATAGAACAAAGAAGAGACAAAAAAGCCAATCTTAGATAAACAAAAATTTTGAGCTTTAAATACCCATACACTAGCTATCTGACTGACGGAATGATTCCGGAATTCATCCGCTTTCATAATAATCAATTCTCCTTTAGTTCGTTCGAAACGATCAATCCACAGTTCAACGGCTGGATGATGTTCCACTCTGTATAAGGGCAACCTGCAAAGAAAAAAATGACTGCAACGATGAAGATATCAATATGAAAGGTGATAACTGTAATGCACAGTGGAACATCAAAATGCATATATGCATGTCCAGCACAGCAAAACCACCAAGCACGTTCATATGACACCACAAATATGCATTTGACGTCCACTGTACCACCATTCATCAGTAAACGTAATTCTCGTCATGTTATAAAGATATTAACCTTAAATCTTTCAATTTCTAATTTCCAATACCTTCCTGTTAATTTGGTAGTAATGTGCTTTATGATGTGAACAGTGTGCGTCAAATGATTTCAAAAATGATGACAGAAACCTTGAGATGAAAAGCAAATAAAAATATGGGTGGTAATGCACATAAAAGTGATGAAGTAAATTATACATATATAGCTATTATGACTTATATATATATATATATATATATATATTTATATATTTATATATTTATATATTTATATATAGGTCATTATAGCTCGCTTACTTCACTCCATTATGAACCGTTCGAGATTTCGCCATACTTCGCAGATGTGCTGGTCTAACAAAACTACAGTTAACTTTGCATAATTCTTATTTATTTCTCGATACATGGCATGTCATATAACCACTGGTAATTTTGAAGATATTCAATGTTATCATCTTTTCTTGAAATCTGAATAGCATCAAGAAGAAGTGATAACATCGAATAACTAAAAAACTATAGTTCTTGTTCCTATTAGGTTGTAAACCTTATCTTGTCTGACAAAATTTTATCTTGTTTCAGTTCATGCAAACTTAAACAGGTAGTGGAGATGAAGTTGTAATTCACAGTCATCAATATGCATCGATATCACGTTATCAACGAATCAAGCAGAAAATAAATACTAAGAAAAATTGAAGAAACTTACGCTGCATATTGCACGAGCATCCATTTCAAAATTTTTTCATCCGGCATTTCAAAACTACAGAACAGAGTACGAACCTGCAACACAGCAAATAAATAATTGACGAGAACTATTAAAAAGCAAACAATCCCTTCTTTTTATAATTTATCATTATCAAAATAATGCTTGGAAGAATCAGAAAAAAAAAGTTAATGCAGTAGCACTAACCCCTTGAACAAGAAGATCAAGAGCATATTCACAAAGAAATGTTGTTTTTCCGAAACCAGTACCTCCAGTTATAACTGTCATCTCTCCGGGTCGAAATCCACGCATAAATCGGTTCAGCAAATCAAAACGTTTCCACTATAAAATATCAAAAAATGAAAATAGAATATTTCCCAGACAACTTAGTCAATTAAAGTAGAAGTACTGTAAAAGGAAAACAGTAAAAGTTAACAGAATTTTAATTAGCGTATTGTTTTCCTTAGTATCGCCACACTACAAACCACCTGTGCGACGCCATTCATCTTCATCTGATCCTTAACCAGCTCGGATTTCAATTCACTTCGTATATCAATTAATGAACGAAATCCTTTGCCACGTAAACGAATCGAATCATCTCGAATTGCTTTATTAATTTCACGTCTACGATCAGAACGTAACAATTCAATTGGGCGCTCATGATTGCTGAAAAGGGAAAGCAATTTGCTAGTCGAAAATATAGCAAAAATTTGACATAAAACAGAATTCTACAAGGATTTAACTTCATCAAAAAATGTCATTACCGCTCCCACCTTAGAGAAATGAAGATAAAGGTAACTTCGTTAATATTTCTGTGAAATAAGAGAGACAGTGAAGCATTTACATATGACAAGAAAACTAGAAGATTGAGTAGATAACTTGGTAAACTTACTCAACGATGAAGCAACGATTAGCATTTAACAGTGATGCATAATCTTTTGCATATTTTTCCTGAACATAGGGGAACCAAAGGTAAACCATATCGAAATCTTCCAAATATGGAAGTATACTGGAAATAGACAGTAATATATTTCTGTTCTAAGCAAACTTAGAGAAGGGAAGTAAAAAGTAAAGATATGAAGTAAGATAAGTATGCTATCAAAAAAAAAAACCGTGTATCCAGTTGTTCACCCTTCGGTAACGCTATACATAGCATTCCACCAGTGGCTTCGAATACCGCCAGAGCATCACGTTCATTGGTGGTCAGTATAATACGTCGATCTGATGCCGTAACCAAATGATAGCCAAAGATTCCCGAAAATAGTGATTTTCTGCAACAACCTACAATACAATGCCGAATATCCAATGAACATCTCATCTACAATAGATGAAATGGATTCTGATAAGGTCGACCAGCTGATTTTTGGGAAAATATTTCTTGGCACCTTCATTACCTACCCTTCACTATCCGATCCAGGATAATTTTCCTTCTCCAAAGAATCACTACCGACTTTTCGAATAACTTTCAACCCTGCTGGTATTCGTACACGACTGCTAGGCCCTGCAAAAGAAAACAAAAATATTTGTTGTAATAGAAGGGATACATTATGATGCTATAAATCATTAATAAAAGTAACAATCATTAATTTTGCATTTACTATAAAGAAAATCTGAAGAAAACCTCGATATCTTGGATAACACAGTCCAACCCTCATAAAATTATCCAAATGTCCTTTGATGTGATATCGCGAAAGAGTATCATATGATATGCGCTGCAAAAAAAAAAAATTGTTTTTCCCAACCGTAGATAAGGACAAATTCTTACCGGCATGAGGAAGAAGACATGTCAGAATATAGCTAAGGAAATGGAACAATATTTGATTTTTTTTTCCATTCCTCACAATAATTATTTCAGGTAAATGGATTTTTATGAACATTACTAAATCCAAGCTAGTTAACTGTAGGCAGTTACTCAAATAGTTACCTCCACAAATGGTACGGTGAATAAAAAGAGTAATTTGGACTTCTCAAAAAAAGTATATCAAGTGTGTCATCATGATAAATTTATCTGTTCATTAACACTGATAAATGTGCAAATGTGATAATTCGTTGGTCAAAAATAAAATGAAAAAATTTTGATGAATAATATGCAGGACACCAACATCTATGCCAAGAAGTCTCCTGAGTACTAAGAATTCGCTTTGCTCGGAGTGATTTTGTAAATCACGCAAATCCAATGCATCCATCCATATAAGTCGAACAGCCGGATCAGAAGACATATTCAATGAACCAGCACCAGCTTAAACGGTTACTGTATTTGATGATGCCAAGTCACAGATTTTAAATATATTCTGCAGATCGACAAGTTTATTCTAAATGCTCAATCTTGGTAAAGAAAAAAAGAAGTGATACCATGTAAAATTGCTTTTGGCTTTTGTGTCAAATATATTCATAACTCAAACATTGCGTTCAAAACGCTGACACATTATTTGACACTCAGATACTTGACCTGATAGAGTTAAGAAGAACAGGAAAGTCAAACAACAAGGATCAAGACAACTGAAGCTTTTACAAGATTAAGTTTGAAAAATAACAGCTTTACTTTCCAGAGAAATAGAAGTAAAGAGTTAAAAAAGTTTGCCTGCAGCATCGGAAGAATGTTTTGGATTATGATCGCCATCAAATATGCGTGGTGATATCTTATCAGCCCTGCAAAAATATTCAAAGAGGGATCAGAATAATAATAATGCATAGTAATAAATGAATGTTGCCTTAAAAATCCCCATGTAATGAACTGGAAATTAAACTATATGAATAAGCGAAAAAACTAGAATATGCTCAGTCTTGAAGGACAAAATTGTCCAGAGGGCTGATCTCTTAAATTCCGAAAGGTTGAAACTTTAATAAAGGAAATCGAAAAAGGAACCAAAAAAGGAATGTAGTTTCATTGTTTATTGAGAAAATTTGAGGCCCTATTCAATTCTAAATTCTCAAAACTAATTTTTCTTTTCTCTTCCGAATTACCAACCCCAAAAGAAAAAGAAATATACGAATTCGGGAAATGAAAAACATTGTTACGGAAAAACTTTGATTCAGGAAGTGAAGGAAGCATAAATAGTTAAATAAAAACTGCAAGTAATGAAGCTTAGAAGAGAAATGAACCTTCTAGTCTGTTATGTTAGCTTCTCGCTTCAATCATTTCATTTACCATTGAATTTCTCTCCTAATCATAATCAAATCATAACAACCAATGTATCTCAATATGTATCTCTTTAATCTTCTCATTTCTTTTTAATCTATCAAAATGAATTTTTATACTCTCATAATTACTCCCTTTTTTAATAAATAAGGCTAGAATTCATAATTATCACCTAATATCCTATCAATATCAATATCCCTCCTAAAATTGTCGAAAAAAATTTTTTTCCTCATTTTGAAAATAACCACTGCTGCTTTCCTAATATCATTTTTAAAATCCTAAATGGCATATAATTTTCAGATAACAAGTAACTTTTTTTTTTCTTAACAAACAGAAGCAAAGATGGAAAAGTTCAGGAAAGAGGGGGGAAAAAAAAGAAGCGGAAAGGAGTGCAATTTCGAGTATACTTCCTTTGAAGTAATTCCAAATCCTAGGTCCCATTTTTTTGATAAGAAGCGGAGCAAGTGAAAAGAGCTGAAAAGGATAACTGCAAATCTCTTTTTCAGCAGGATATATGTCAAACAAGTGATCTATTTTTTAGAAGAAAAAAGAAAAAAAATTATGGAAAGAAAAAGGAAAGAGCTAAGGCATCATTTGGGCCACAAAATGGCAACCGATAGAATATAATCGGTTTCTCAATGTGCTTTTATAAGACTCATGATTAAAGGGTAAATTTTTGGACAATCATGCATGAATGAAATCAAAAAGTATACCTGTCACATTAGGAATAACTGCAGTATGATTACTCCAGCAGATAGAAATCTAGTAATTGAGTTGAAAAAAAGAAAAAACAGCTATAACTAGGTAATTTTTCCACTTACGTTTGTCCACAAAATATTAGTGAAAATCTTTGAATAAAGTATATATAATAAAAACAAAACTTTTTAATTTTAATAACAAATACAATTTTTCAATTTTAAAACAAATTATATTTTGGAACGATACCATCCCATATCAATGACATAAAGTTTCAAAAGGATTAGTTTAATGTTAGTTGACTGATGTTTACCTCGTGGATTCTTTTATGCAAATTATGATCAGTTAATACTGTTTTTGATAAAATGCTGAAAAATAAATTTAAAAATTGAAAAAAAAAGGAAAGTACTCTAAAATGATCAACTCTTGATAAATGAAAAGAAAGAAGCTTTTTTGTCTAAACTTACAAATATCCTTAATCTTTACAGTTTTAAAGCTAACCCTACTAATTAGATACCACTGTGAACTTGAATTTGACTTTAATTTCATTTTTTTTTTCTGCATTTTTCTACAATTTAAAAACTTACTGTTCACGTAAAAGCCGAAAATTTTCTGCTTCTTTCATTTTTCTTTGACGCTCCCTTTCTTCGTATTGAGATATGAGATCCAGATAACTCACTTTGTCATACAGATCCGAGTCTAGCTGAAAAAATCAGTAAACAACAAAAAGTACATTAAAAAACATTTTAAATAATAAACGTTTTGCAATAAAATTCGAAATCATCCAATTAAGACCTATAAATATGAATTTAAAATTAATTTAAAAAAATTAATTTTTAACCCAAATTAAAACACTTCTTGAGAAAAAAAAGTGTGTTTAAAAACGAATAATAACAGACAAAAAAGAAAAAAAAAATTAGATGTAATAGATCAAAAAACTAGCATCATCCATTGTAGGCAAATGATTGCCTTTTCTACGTCCTTCTTCGTGAATTATTTCTTCTTTTTTTGGCACCTGCAATGCTGTAACGTATTTCCACGTGCCTTCTTTTGGATCTTTTTGTAGTAATGGACGCAGGACAAATGATTTTGTCTCTTCCACTGGCTGTTGTTCGATATCTTCCAACAACAACTTCTGGAAATTTTTCCTTTCATTTCTAAAATCAATCATTCAATGTACCGTGATAATAATAAGTCAATCGTAGACGTTTCACAATTAGTTACTTATGATACATGCATTATTTGCGCCACTCAGCTATGATAAAGATAAATGAAGGAGAATTCCGGACTTGTGTAATAAAATGTTACAAGAGAGTAGGATGGAAGTTAGATATATTTTTAGTACTTCATTTCTCAATTTTTCTCATATGGAATTATTCAGAGAAATGTAGTTAATAATGAGTAATTAAGAAAAAAAAATACAATAGGTTCGTCGTTCTATTTTCAAATGTCCTCATTCTTACCTACATTCTCTTTTCTACCTTTTAATTAACCATTAATTATAATTTTTTCCTTTATATTTTCTTTTAAAAAATATAAAGACTTGGAAAGCATATATATATATAGCTGTCCCTGTTATTACACCATTAAATGAATGCTAACTATAAATTGATAATTTTGAAATTAAAATTTCAAATATATGATAACCTTAGACATATTTACAACAATTTTTGCTCTTCTCTTAAGCTTCCCTATTACTGGTAATATTCAACGTTAAGTTAAATGATGAGGATAGATCAGGAAGTTTGATGCATAAATTAAATAATTTTTCAAAATAATTCCAATAACGAAAAATGATAATTTAATGTTGTGCTATGTTATGCTCTGCCTAATGGAGGTGACTGCTTTTTAGTCAACCATTCAGTAAATGTTAGGCTATTTTATAGAAAAGGTGAGAGGGAAAAAAAGGGCGTGAGCAATAAATGCTTGCCAAATCGACGAATCAACTAAATACGATTGTTCAGAATAACATAGGGAATAAACAGATGAATACCTTATGGATGAAATGTTTCAAAAAAAAGAAGAGAAAAAAAAATTTGGTAGAAATACTTCGTACCTCCTCCCTCTCTCTCTCTCTCTTTTCAAGTTTATCGTAAATTTAGATAATAGAAAAAGATTTAAACCGTGGTGAGAAAAGACTATCAAATAGATTCATAATAATACTGGAATAAGAGGACAAAGATTCATGAGCAAAATTTCGAAAAATAAAATGAAGGTTTGTCATTTGATTAATGAGCATTGGAAGATATTTTGGAGCTAATAATTAAATTTCATATTAAAAAGAAGGCAATTGATTATTTCTTCCATAGTTATCATGTTTTTCTTTGTCTTTAGGTTTTTTGCTTATTTCACTCATCGTTATTTGATGAAAAAAAAAAAAAATAGTATATGAGAAAAGCATTGGTGACAGTGAAGAGAGTTGATTGATGAAATGATGAATGCTTTATTCAGGAAATGGAAACCTGATAATAACGGTAGCTAGAATGGATTTGAAAAAAAAAAAATCTCAATAAAATTTGATGGTTTCAGTATTTTGAATGTGCCATTTCCCAGTTCTTTCATTATTCATGGAACAAGTTACTAAGCTATTATAGTTCATGAAGGAGTGATTAGTTTAATGAAGAAAATTATCTACCATATTATTGATACCATGTAATAATATACGACTAAATTCATAGTGATAAGATGAACATTAAAAGAGAAGAGACACAACTAAAAAGACCAATATAATGCATGGACACTGGAAATCATCGTGTCATTTGATATGTTTTTGAATATCTATCACACAATGCAAAAGAAACCACATTTTATGGACTGCTAATTGATCAATAACATCCAACAACATAGTTTGGTCGATCCACAACCAGCAATATAATAGCCCTTTCTTGGACAAATGCTTCCTCTTTCCATAATGGATGCAATCAGTCCATATTTATAGCTTCAATTTCATTCCAAAACCATTTCCACAACCCCTCATACCAATAACACTACATTCTTAGGGAATATACTGTTTCAATCAGTAAATGAAATACATTCTGATGTCAAAATCATCATCAGAATATTAAAACATTAGTTATTATTCTACCTTAAAATCAAGCTTAGAGTACTCATTGGAATCACTTTTCTTACTTTGAGCAAATACAACGGTCAGAAAGATATCATTTCAGAAGTGGTCCATCAAATGTTTCTATTTGATACAAAAGCATCAGTCCATGATAAATTTAGCTCTTGCTACAAATAATACAATTTATAATTCTTCTCATATTTTATGTGAAATGAAGAAGTTTAGGAATTTAAGTATGGTGAAACCAAAAAAGAAAACTAAGGAATGATATTTGCAGTAGATTAAGAAAAAAAGAAACAAATACCTTAAAAACATCAAATGTAGTTGAATAGCCACATGTTGTACACATTATGCTGGTGTCACGAAACGAAATGCAAGCCGTGTCTAGCGACTTGCAGTGTAAACATTTTGTTCGAATATCTCCCAGGTATGGCTAAATTTCATGGGTACAAACAACATCCAACCAATTTCTTACTGTCCAAAGGAACAATAAATAATTTTAAAACATTCATATTGGACAGTTATATTTTAATTACATTACGAAAATAAAAACAATCTGCAAGGCGATGAAGTTTCAGAAAATTAGAAATACAACACCAAATGTTAATTGTCCTTAAAATGTAAAAACAAACAGTATTACCTAAGTCAAGCCTTAAGCAAAATGTACAAAAAAGTACAAACAAACAGCACGGATAGACTTACAGTTAGACTATATGGTAATCCATATTTTACGAGAAATTCGATAATCTCTGATCTTGTGTTTCTTTCCGAGCTCTTCCTAACGGAAGTTATCGATTGCCGGCTATGCTAAAAATATTCAGAAATGGCTAGTTCTTTTAACTAAGAAAAAAATATCAAATGCTAAATGATTAGGTTATTAAAGCCCTAAACCATTCCATTAAATTCTACACTTAACCAAAACTAATCAGGATAAATATCCTTGATATGAGGAATGAAAATAAGGGAATAAACAGCTATCAAATAGTAGTGAATCAAAAATAGATCAGTATAAATCATAGCAAAAGAAACGAGCAGAGAGTAAGAATTGAATTCTTAATTAGTTCTCAATTAACAATTCAATTCTTAATTACAAAGAGAAAACAGTAAGGGTACTGAAATGATCTTTGTCAAATGTGTGCTAGAGATCATTTTAATACTCTTATTGTTTTTTCAACCGTTTATAGCTAACAATAATTATTTGAAATATTTTCCTGAAGTAATAAAGCCTTACTTTAACTTCACTAATATTTTTTGGAGCTGTAGATTGCTGTGTGAATTCCTGTATAATATTTTCAAAAGTGAGTTGCTGATTGGTAAGTCTCTGCAATACGACTGAATTATAAATAAATACTTCCTTTAAATCAGTGATTTCCAATCTTTGCTTGACAAATGACCTGTTTTTCTTTTTTTTTTTTTTTTGTTAGCAGAGAACACAAGGCTCAAAAATAAAATTGTCAATTTTAAAAATTTTAATCAAAACAAATTTTAATCAAAATTTCCAACGTATTAGTTTAGAAACATTGATAAGAACCGCCTTTTTCTGCTTACCGCATTGCCGCCCCAGAAGATTATCGGTTGTCTCTTTTCATCTCTTTTTTTTTTTCACCTCTCACCTTTTTCATCTTTCATCTTCACCCTTTTCACCTCTTTTTTTCATCCCCTTTTCACTTCTTTTCATTGATACATCCAAATCTAATTCTCCTACGCATTTCATAGAAATATAGAAGTTAAATTCAAGAAGCAAGCACATACCGTAAGATGATAGCGTGATTTACGTCCTCTTATGAAGGCCTTCCATTTGCTGAATCGAAGTGAACGTGCAACAGTTGGATGTCCACATACAATCATTTCAGTAAATATTCAATCCGAAAATTCCGACATTTATATAAATATCGTGTACAAGACCAATCCTTCAATATGCTCCTGAAATAGCAAATAGCAATTAGCAATGATGAAGTAATTATGATTATGAATTTCTTATAATCTGTATAACATTGCTATAATAATTCTTCATCCTCAAAATTCGATATGCTGATGTTGTTGTTCAAGAATAAATATCGTCTATGTAATCAAATTAGAAATCGGTACCTATAATGATAATATATGAGATGATAATTCAAAACAGCAAAATAAACTTTAAACTGATTAATTTGTTGTTGGAAAATATCATAAAATCTGATTTCTACATCATTAACAATATAGTCCTACTTATTTATCACTGTTATCGCTATTAATAATTAGATAATTCCTACTAGTTCAAAATTAAAACGAGAACTTTAATTTTAATTTTTTACTTTTAATGATTCGATCATCTTAACAACTCTACTAAATAAACGGAAGACTATTCAATCTTATTAGCAATTGAAGTATTTACAAACTTTGGAATTATGATCATCGGATAACAGTGATCAACTGACTTTCCCTTACTTCTTTATTAATCAATAACTTTCACATTAATGATAAGGAATTAATAACATACTCAATACCACAAATTGAATATATCAATCATTAATATTAACACATAAAATAGAAATACTATACACTTCTCCGATAAATTTATTTTATAAATATAGATTCATTAGACAGTGATGAGTACCTAACAATAATGTAGTAAACGAGTAATCGTTTAATAGCTGACAGTGAATTATTTGTAGACCGATTACAAAACACGAATATCTATCTAAAGAAGTAATAACGATACCATATTTCTGTTATATTTATTTCAAAATCGGAATTTATTTAATGGCAACAATACCAACGAACTTTTTCGAAGTTATTAATTATCATCAATTAACCATGTACATGCTATTAAGAAACGAAAAACAATCACATTTTGAGAATCTTAATTGTTGCAATAACGAAAGATTATCAGTTTTTCCTATGTAATAATATCAAAAACCGCATAATAAAAACCGTCTGAATAACATTATTCCGTTGAAACATTTCTCGTCAATTTTCAACAGTTTTCCGGAGTTGAATTTCCCAATACATGGTGGTTTCAAGTAATAACAGTCTTCATTATGTTTTGGAGTTTTCACTTAAAAATGAAAAAAACTTGGTTTTCTTTATCATACTTCTTATGGTCTACGTTCCAGTTACATGTTTGCAACTAAACCTGCACAAAGATCAGAAGTGATAAAGGACGTATCACTAAATCATCAACTCTTCATACAGTTACCTTCTGCCCTTCTGACAATGATGAAGAAACTACTGAATCTCTGAGAACAACAGTGTAGAATTGTAGCACCATTTTATCATTACTCAAACATACAAAGTAAAAGATCTATTTCTGACAATTTTAATTAAAAAGTGGAAAAATGCAAAAGAAATGTTACCGGTAAAGCATAAAATGTACAGAATACTTAAACTAACATTTCAACAGCATCGATAAAACAAGGATGTGACAATGTGGGAACATTATTATAATCAACTGACGACAGCAGAATAGAAAAACTATCGCAAATCTGATTCTTAGGTAAGGTTAGCGCTTACCGCGAATATAGTATAAGAAAGCCTAATAGGTTCTCTGACTGAATCATAATTCAACATATTCGTTCAACAATTTCACAATATCTTTTTCGATGTCCTTAGGCTGCACCGTGGGAGCATACCGTTCTACCTATAATAAGCAGATTTATAAAAAACCGTTTCTCGCCTTTATACCATTCGATAGAATGAGATACTACTGTAGCGAATTTCTATCCAGTATCAAAACAATACCTCAAGAAGATGACAATTTATAGGTAAATATGTTGTAATAAAATTCAACTTACCACTTTGCCACGTCTACTGACAAGAAATTTAGTAAAGTTCCATTTAATAGCGTCTGTCAAAGTGCCGCCTTTTTGATTTTTCAAAAATGTATACAATGGATGTTCATTTGCTCCATTGACATCGATCTTAGCATATAAGTCAGGTTCAAAATTGAACGTTTCCTTCACAAAACGTTTAATTTCATTTTCATTTCCAGGTTCCTACAAATATTTACTATCCTCAAAAAGCCATCGTTCTCTTATCAATCCTCATATTCCATGATTTTTCTTGCATACAATAGTCCCGCCTCTTTACGAATTTTCTTTTAAATTGGAAGAACCTCAATTCTACTTTAAATTACAAAAAGGATGATAAATATACTTGCGAAGCGAACTGATTACAAGGGAAGGCAGCTATTGCCAAACCTTGTTCCTTGTACTTATCGTGCAAATCCTTGAGCTGGGCATAATTTGAATGGGTAAGACCACACTGAGATGCCACATTTACTATTAGAACCACCTTGTCCCTGCAACATACATTCAGCTATTTTCTTTGGCTCAAACAGAATCATAGCAGTCTTTATTCATCTGCAAATTTTAATATTTAACATAGACAACTGGTTGATAATAGCTGATACTTTTGTTCAATTCCAACGAAAAGATGGCAAAAGACCGTTGAACGTTAGGCTATTAGTTGTTCGTCACTAAACATCACTTCTGAGTTATTTCTTCAAATAGACAAGTGGTTTAGGTAGACCAACCTATACCGATCCAACGACACTTCTGCTCCATTGATATCACGAACTCGAAATTGATATATCGTGTTCGACGAATCTTCGGCTACAAATATATTAAACTACAAATATTTCCAGTTCATACATGTATTTTATTTATCTTATTTTTTATTTACTTTTTATTTATTCACAAGACTTGGTACTCATAGATTGGATTCAGCTTACTAAATCACTATGCTAATTGCTATATATAATGGGACAACAACTTCTGACAAGAGTATTGTCATAAGTTATAGCATATATTGTAGCATACTTCCCCTTTCTCTTTCCTTACCGTTCAGATCTATGAATAAAAATGGAAAAAGCAATAAACCTTGATAAGATGTTATGAATAACGCAATGACTAATAATTGAAGACTCGCTTTGGTTCTGTTCAAACACATCCATTTCTCCCCATTCGGAAATGAATTCATCGTTTTATGTTCCCTATAAGTTAATCACATGGTTATTGGTTATATTTTGTAAAATATGTAAGTGAAAGAGGAAATGCTTAACACCACATCAAGTAAGCAGCAATTTCGAGATAAAATATAATCCCACAACTTACCTATTAACTACAATTACCTACTATCTTCTAGACTGATACCTAATAAGTAAAAATACATTATTTAAAAAAAATGAATTAGTGGATGATGATAACAGTGCCTTTGCATTACGCCTTCTACTTTGATCGAATCTTAAATGTTTTATCTCTATCGCACACCTAAGAAATGATAGCTATAGTTATCAGAGCCAACTAAAAGTGCAGGACAAGTGCAAGTGAATTTATAAAAAAGCATCAGTAGATTGTTTGTTAAATCAATATGAAGAAAAAAAGAGGAAATATGAAAAAAGAAAGAAAATATATCACGTTAGACAAGGAATAGACATCATATTACTAACGTGCAATGATTAACCACAATACTACTACAATTAACGATTCGCTTATTTTTTTAATGGCAGTCAATACAAAATAAGGCATGATCGAAATAAGAAAACACAAATGAACAAAATCATATTTAGCATAGCAGGTTTATTCTAGTTCATATAAGGGCATCTTAGTTTTACTGTAATTAATAATATTTCATCGATATATAAAATTGGCGCCACTATCGGTATACAAAAGAAGTACTGTAGGAATCATAAGTTATCGTAAGAAACGTCGCACAACTACTGCGAAATCACAAGAAAGTATAATGTATCTAAATGCGAAAGAGAAGTATAAACATGAAAAAGGATCACAGAAATACACCAGTAAATCAGATATATCACAGGATTAAAAACCAATACAATGAACTGAAAAAGAACAACTGCATGTCAAATTAATCGTATTCACGTAAATCTCTCTCTTTTTTTTTTTTAAATAACAGTCGCTAATTAAAATTTGCCTTTTTAGACGAATGGAAGAATCCCAAATGAAAATATCGTGATATCTATGACTTATGATGCTAACTCCATCTAAACATTTCCAAACATTTAACCTACCCTGAGATGATTCGAAGCAATAAAAATTACTGAGTGTAGGGAAAATGTCACAAATTATTACCTTGCACAGAAGAATTCATAAAGAAGCATTTAGGATTTTCTGCATTTTTCCATCCGGCTACCTGTTATATTAGTGAAACTTCCACTGATCTCCCCAGTCAGTAAACTACAGCTCTAAAGAAAAAAAAAGTGTAATATATGTACTTCGGAACTTTCACATTTCCAGTGTCCTAAGCCAGTAAAGTATTTCTAAAATTGACGACTGCTCTGGTATCACCGATCTTCGAATATGACTTTTTGAATCCAAAACTTTCAAGTCGCAAGAAGTACATCAGAATACGGCGATAATTTTCATTGTCTTCACCAATCCAAAACCTAAAACTAGACTAAAATACCTTCGAATATTCGCAAATGATAGTATATTTGTCAAAGTTATCAAAAGTTATCCCAGTTTTCGTTGCCATCACTGTTTAGAAAACAACTCCAAGACCTTAAAAAATTATTAATTTTATAACATTTTGAAAATATTCACCGAACTCTGAGATCTACTTCCAGGACAATATTCTTGAATAGAATTGTTTCCAACAATGCAGGAAAAACATCCCACTCTCCGCCATTAAGATCCAAAATAAATTTATTTATTCTAAATTCATTAACAATGTTAAGCATATCTGACAAAGTTATCAGAAGCCATGAGTTGTTATTGTTGCCATCAGGAACTGTGAAATTTTTTGAAAAATATGGTGAAATACCATAAGGATACACGTTTGGGGTTGAAATCAACCTGAAATAGATAAATTGTCAACTCACTTTTAACTGATATAGAATCGAGTAAAATGATAATCTCTTTTTCATTGCAATGATCGACACCAATAAAATTACCTTCGATTCGACTCCACCGGCGAAAAAAAATGAACTTTACAGGGAAGGAAGTGTTCGAAATTCTCCATCACTTTAAATTCACGATAACTAAAATATTGGCTTATACAACTTTGTCACAGACTATCAATTACTGCAAAGAATTACCAGTTACGACATATACCATATATGAACAACAGTAGAAAATTCAAAATGCATACCTCACATAAACAACAGCGCATGGATTTTTCATTACATTTAACCGGCAAAGCACAGGTATATCGTTTTCATTCTCCGCCACTTCATTACATTCCACATTTTTCTCTTTAGCTGTCAGATACTTCATAAGTCGCTTCTTCTCTTCCACTGGAGAACCTAAATATAATATTTTTTATGCCCATTGGCAATTAAATAATATCTGAAGTAATTTACTCTTACTCTGCATAATCCCACTACAGCTGATCAAATTGTTAAAACACTACCAACGTGGGTATTTTCGCAACATAACTTCCCACAGTTAGCAGTAACAGTGAAAATTTGTACGTTATATGAAAATTACAATACCGTTTTCTGCACCCCATTAATATATTGCTTTCTTTTTCCGAATACATAGTGAAAGTGGAAAATATATAATTATTAACCGAAGCCAAAAACAGGCAATTCCACTTGATGATGAGCCTTTTTCATGAAACTAAGTCGATACCAACAACTATGAACCACTTGGACACAGACGGAACTTGATTCGGCTCCAATAAGGGCATAATGATATTTGAGGTACATCTGATAAAGTAATAAATACCAGTCATATACCAAATTTTCCATATTTCTTATTTCGATGACCAGGTGAAGTTGATTTGACTGCAAAACCTGCAACAACCACTACGAACTGAAGTCATAGTTTTAAGCAGCGCATAATGCTGTTTTAGCTTCGAATGAAAAGCCAAAAAAAAAAAAGACCGGTGGAAACCTTCAAAAGTTGTTCCATTAACTTGGGTGCATCACGAAGTTCCTGTAGTCGTGTCATTTTCGATTCTCTGTCTTGAATGGCTGAATAGAAATTGATGAATGCGGTATCAAATTGCCTATTCGATACTTCACTCAATATCTCATCGAAATCCCAGGCATCATTTCTGCTTAGAGGGTACAGATAATGCATCTCCGCATCTGCAACCTATGTTCTCAATTAAATTCGCTCTTCAATTTGTCCACCTCCATAAAATCAAATGTGAAATAGATAACAAATGTAATTTTAGCAAGACAAATAATTTTAGTAAGAGCAAGACAAAATTTTAGCAAGACATTACCAACGTTCCCTAAGCTGTCAAGTGCGCTGAATCCTTCAGGAACAAAAAATGTCCATCGTTCCGGAATTACTGCAGTCAAATAGGAAGCAAAATTATCTGGCGAACCACTGATGAACAAAGCATCGCTGAAACATCAGAAGCACATGAATCTGATCTCTGGAATGTCCGGAATTCGCGTAAGCTAAGTAATAGCTGCTTACGTAATAGCCGCTTACAAAATGTGAATTACCACATTTGATGAATTTTAAAAAACAAGCGGATTCATCTAATAAGATTTGATAAACAAATCTTAACTGATAACTTCCATTACTTTTTAATTTCACTAATCACATATAAAATTCCAGGAAAATGGCACTGCACTATGCAGCCCACTAACGGTAAACAGTACCGTCGGTAGACAATGATTCAGATGCTCGAAACTGGCCATTGATTCATCTCGCGAATGATGAAATCAAAACGAACAAATGTAATTAACCAAGATGATTATTTCTCAAAATTATATACCGCATTTTCTTGTTTGACCCATCAGTACAAATCGTAAAAGCTCCTTTATTATCACCAACAGTGATACTGTCCTCACATTTGTACTGCTTACGAGCTAATAATTCGTTAAGTCGTAACAACTCGGCTTTTGTGTCATTGAGCTTTGGTGGGAAGAATATATCCACATCTTTCCAGCGCAGCGAAGATATGTCATTACTTAGTGTAGTGCTACAATACAGATTATTCATTGATAAGCTCTACAAAGTATGGTACGAAATGCTGCGAATATTACGATAACCGTAACACGACGGATTAAGAATTTCTAATTCATCAACTTGAAAAGTCTCAAGATAACCTAATCAATATCACATAAAATCAAAAGCATTCAATCTTTGAAAATTTCACTCTTCTCTCCCAATTAATCTTCAAATAACTAACCTCACATAAAATAATTTCACATTCAGTGAATCAATCGATAGCCTTATCAAGTTGTATATTACATCCAAATCTTTCATTATCAGCATGACTGTACATATTGTTATCAGTCTTAACACCATCAGTCCATTGATATACCGCATTCCCGCCATCTTGATATCAATTACTACTATTGTAGCATCACCGTCTAACGAAACAGCAATAAACTAACATTGTCAGTAATTAACCAGAACTTAGGTTCTTTGTAGTAAGGTCAGAAGTGGGACTGATAAGGACTGGAACTTCATTAGGAAAGGTCAGGAGAGCTGCTAAAGACTTCGAAAAAGAGGTCAGGGAATTCTTCCTGGGATACCTAGGATCATTTCAGTAGGATGTTTTAATGAACGGTATTGTGCTGTATCGTTGTACTTGAGTTTTTATACTTTAGACTTATCATTTAATGATAAAAGAGTTATCATTTAATGATAAAAGAGCCATCATTTAATGATAACCTTCAGTAAAAATTGTATTATTTTATATAAATTACAAACATCTTTTCATTGTTTGACTTGCACCATTAAATTGAATTTTCAAAATTTAAAGATTTCCCTTTATTTCTACGGTAAAAATAGTCTATATGATTATAAAATTTGATAAAGAAGAAAACATCGAAAAAGGATCAATGGATATATTATTTGTTGTAATTCAAAAATTAGTAGAAAAGTTTAAGGAAAACTGAAATGCTCAATGGATAGAATTTTTTCTTTTCATATCAGTTTTTAAATTCAAAATGTTGTCTATGTATGAAAAGTTGCTTATATCTGTCACATAAATAATGGATTGATCGATTGGTTCGAAATTTTTTCGAACTATCATTTCAAATATCATTCATATCATATCAGGGGATCGATTGATTGCTTGGACGATTGAAGATAGAAAACTTAATATGATATCGTATTCCGGAAAATA